CTGTACTGGGAAGATGTTTAAAACAACGCTTTCAACGAAAGAATGCCTTGGCCCCACACGCAGGCTCATGGCAGAGTGTGCCATTCAAAATGCTACCACTAAACTATGTTCTTACATGAATTTATATATGAAATAATAAATGAAAGAATGCCAAGTCAGCAGATGAAAATGTCATAGAGGTATCTACAGACCATACAGGATTGAATTAAAAATGATGTAAATAATTTTTATTTAAAGCTCTCAAGATTCTTGTTGTTTGTCGAATCCAAAACAAAATTTAAGAGAGAGAAAGAGAGAGAGCGAGAGTGCTATCCATGGGTGCTGGGTCACACCCAAGCAAATGCCATGGATCTTGAAGGCAAGAGGGGAGTCAGGCCAGGTTTTTTAACCTCAGCCCTGCTGGATCTGAGCCAAATACTTCCTAGCTGTGTGGACTTTTCTGTGCACTGAGAGATGATACCAGCATTGCTGGCCTCTACCCACTAAATGCCAGGAATGACAGTTAAAAATATCTCCAAGTGCCAGGCACCAGTGGCTAATGCCTATAAACCTAGCTACTCAGGAGAATCATGGTTCCAAGCCAGCCTGGGCAAATACTTTGCAATACTGTATCTCAAACATACCCAACATAAAAAAGGGCTGGTGAAATGACTCAAGTGGTAGAGTGCCTGCCTTGAAAGTATGAGGCCCTGAGTTCAAAACCCAGTACTGACGAAAAACAAAAAAACCCTCCAAACACTGCCAAATACTGCTAGTGAAGATTGGAGGGCAAAATCACCCTATTGAGAACCACTGCTGCAAGTGATAAGCGGCCACCAGCTCTCCAGCTCAATTATGGACAAGGGACAGGAAGCAATGAAGGATGGGGGAGCCTGAGCACATGCTCCTCTCCCCACCCCCTGCCGCACAATACTAGGGCTTGAACTCAGGGCCTTGCACTGGTTAGGCAAGCATTCTACCATTTGAACCACACTCTCAGTCCTTTTGCTTTTAGTTTGTTTTGCAGATAGGGTCTGGAGCTAACTTTGCCTGGGTGGGCCTCACATGGCAATCCTCTTGCCTCCACCTCCCGAATAGCTGGGATTACATCAACGTGCCACCACACCCAACCTTCGTGTACCCTTCTGAAGGGGGTAGTCACCATTCAGCTGGAAATCTGGAATGATACATTCTGATTTTTTTAAATTCGCAGTTAAAACACAAGGTAATCTGAGCCTCACATGTGTGAGCTACAGCAGGTGTCCACCAACTTTCTGCAAAGGCCCATAGGCTTTGTGGGAGAAACGGTTCTGCCTTTGTGGGTGAAGGAAGCATCCACAGATGATTGTAAATAATGGGTGTGGCTGGGCTCTAGTTAAGCTTTATTTGTGGGCACCAAATTTGAATTTCATATACTTCTTCTATCAGAACATACTCTTTCCTCAATTTTGTTTTCAATCAGTTAAGAAAGCCAATGCCATTACTATCTCACAGCTCTACAAAACCAGGGCCAGGACTTGGCTGGAGGGTCACCGTTTGAGACCCCTGGGCTCCAGTGTGTCTGCAGCAGCAGCAGCAGTAACTAAGGGCATGTTGGAAAGGGGACAGGTCAGACCTGAATGGCTGGACAGCCCAGCATAAGCTGCAGTTGGAGGGACTCAAGCCCTCGTGTTCTCCTCTCATCTCTTCTTGAATCGGCTTCTGCTTCTTGCAAACTCCTGCAGTGTTTTTATACTGCTGCCTCTGAGGGCTTCAGGAGAAAGGCATCACTTTTTTTTTTTTTTTAACCACAGATTGGTTTCTCTGGCCTTCTTTTACATTTTGTCTATTAGTATAAGAGAAAGGCCACCAATATAGCTGTTTGCATGGTTCCCAGAGCCCCCAAAAAGGTCTTTAATAGGAATTTCATGTTTTTAATGACTTTACTAAAACACAAGTCTTCCTGTGTCTATCCTCCCAACGTCTCTTTGCTTTGACAGTAAACAGAGAAAACACAGACGGTCTTTACCACTCACAGAGGCAGCGCAGGACACTGGAAGTGAGGACGCTTGGGGACTTGATCCGGGAAAGGAAGTCATCAGTGGCCTCTGAGCTTGGAGGCCTGTGTCCTGTGGATCTTCCCTGGAAAGCTGAGTGTGGCCCTCCTGGGTGGAAAAATCAACCACTCCTTGAACCGGGTCTGCTGAGCCCATCTGGCACAACACAAGTCCCTAACCCTCAAAGGCACCAAAGGCAAATAGGACAAAGACACAAGGATACTGATGAGAGAGAGAAGTGAAAAGAAATAGGAAGAACTGAACAGATGAGGCACTCTGGGAGCGGTGGAGAAAACATCAGAAGACAGGAGGCGAGACAGAAAATGAGAAAAGGGAAGAAACGAAACAGAGGAAGGGCCAGCAGGGCATTTGCAGGTGCCCAACCAGAGACACTGTTGGCTTCACTGACTAAGGAGGTCCAGAAAGATAACATCTTGGCTCTGCTCGTAGGAGCCATCTGAGACCCTCTTCTCTTCCCAGCCAACAAATTCTTAGAATTCAGGTTGGAAAAGCACGTCCAGTGTAAGACAGGTAAGACTGAGAGGACTCATTTGAGGCTGCCCCTCTCCCACCTCCCACGGAACCTGAAAAGATTCCCCCAGCCAGAGGACGGCAGGAGAATCAAAGGAAAGGGAACAAATGTTGGGGTTTGTGTCTTCCCCCTCCTAAGGCTAAGACACGAGGCAAGGCCAGAATCTCCCTCACAAGGTCACAAATCCACTCAGAGTTAGAGTCCCATCTGGAACTCAGCAGGGAGGAGGGGAGCAGGAGGCTCAGAAGTACCCAAGCTACGATAGTGAGGGTGGGAGAGTAGGTACAAGGACTGCCATGGAAATCAGGCATCCCTTTTGTTTGGTCTCTTTCTACTCCAAGGCTTGAAAGCAGGACAGAGGAATGGGAGGATGACTGAGTCCCTAGAGTCTGGTTCCCCCAATGCTCTGCCTCTGACTTCAGGCCTCTTTCATTCCCTGATTTATGAGCAGTCACTGTTCTGTAATCTAGAGGTGATGAGTTCTGGGGTCAGGACTCAGTCTCTTGAGACATAATGAGAGCTATCATTTAGATGGAATGAGGACGGAGAGGGTTTTGCAAAAGCAGCCATGCCTTCCTGAGCTCACAGTAAGGATGTAACCCGGGAGAGTGTCAGGTGAGCCACTGCAGGCACATATGCCAGACCAGCAACAAAACCATAGCTGCACAAAGACACGGCCCCAGATGACTCCAATGAGTGGTTAACCCTGCCCCATGGACGCTGCTCCATCGAACGCCCTCAGGATCTGTTCCACAAATGTCGAAGGAGGTCAAGCCCCAACCGTGACTGAGTTAAAAACCCAACACAAAAACTCACCAAACTGGGCTGCCATTACCTTGAAACGTCAGGGCCTTGGGCTAGTAATTAATTTTGTTTATAAGAAAGTAAATTGATGTTCTTGCACTCCTGAGTTGGTGGCTTGTGGAGTTCATACCTGTGACCCAGGTACTGACTTCTCAAACCCTCCTATAAAAATAATGTCATCCCTCCTGGTGGTAAATGTTGGGCTTATGGCTTTCAGGCCATGAACTACTGCCTCTTCTCCCCTATCTCATCAGACTCCCAGTGACCATGCCCATTGTGGTCATGCTATGAGCCCAATTCCAGCCACACAGTTTCCTGGGCTGGGAGAAATAATCCTGCTATCAGCACTTTTGCCAAAGGCTACACTGAGTGTTACAAATTCTGTGCTCAACTGAAATAACAAAGCAAAAGTCTGCAAGATGGAGTTAAAAGTTGCTGGTATTGCATGTTCCCAGGCCCTGCCCAGCTCCTGTTGGGAAGAGGTCTTCTAAGGGTCTGTTCAGTAAACATTACTGAGTCTACATCCCTGTACAAAAGCCATTACAATGTCTGGTGCCTTCCACTCCCAGGCATGGGCGCAAGACAGAAGGGAAGAAAGAGATAGGAAATGGTCTACAGACTGGGGAGACCAGCTGCTCCCCAGCCCAGAGTCCATTCACAGTGTCCTACTGGAACCTTCTATCACACCATGATTTATTAGAAGTCAATGTGCAATAAACTAGGAGTGAAGGTTGGGGGTGCAGCTCAATGGAAAAATACTTGGATAGCATACATTAGGCCCTAGGTTCATCTCCAGTATTGAAAATAAAAGGGGGTAGGAGTTGTAGGGTTCCTGGTGGAATGAATGTTGCTACGGACTCACTATGAAGCACCTCAGACATACCATTAAGAAAGTTCACTCCACTTCCTAGCCCCAATGCTGAGGAGAGCAAGATTTCAGGGTTACTTGGGGAGGGTCAATAGCCCAAGTTCCTACCAGCCCACCAGCTACCAACCAAACACCTGCCCTCTGCTGTGGTACCTCCTAGAACTCTGAGATGCAGCCCCAGCAAAAGCTGGGGCCATGACTCAATTGGAGAAGCCAGTTATATCCACCTTAGGGGTCCTTTGAGCTCAGAACTTGAGTTCTTCCTTTGACATCAGTGTGTCAGGGGCCTTAGCAAGAGCTTATTATCTGAACAAAAGAAAAGAAATTGCTTTTCCCCTACAAGGCACTTAGGCTTATCTTCATTCCAGCACAAGCTCACATCTGTGCCAAACTCAACTAGCAGTTCAGGGCAGGAGAGTCTTTCTTGTTTTCTTCTTTCTTGTTTTTTTGTTTTTTGTTTTTGTTTTTGCAGTACTAGGACTTGAACTCAGGGCCTATACCTTGAGCCAGTCCACCAGCCCTTTTTTTGTAGTGGGTTTTTTGAGATAGAATCTTGCAAACTATTTGCCTGAGCTGGCTTCTAGCCACAATCCTCCTGATCTCTGCCTTCTGAGTAGCTAGGATTATAGGCATGAGTCACTGGTACCTGGCTAGGGGAGCCTTCTTTAACCCAGGCAGATTGGGGAGGTGGCCAAAGGAGAGCTTCTTGATATACCTTGATGTCTTCTATAGACAAGGGTTATCTACACGGTGACTCTGAGGACTCAAACCTTTGTAGCATTTAGACCTCTCTCTTAGTGTGGTCTGGAGCATTTTCATGCACAAGAAATTCTCTGGTTGTCACAGAATTTTTCAAATATGGATTTGGTACTCCCTCCTCACAGAGTCGGTCTGGTCCTAAACTTTGACCAGAAGAAAGAAGTTGCCCTTTGGCTTCTGGGCATGTCACTTCTGCTGTTTCCAAACACAGGTACTGGTATTTTCTAGAAGGAATCTCAGTTAAAACCAGAGGCTCCTCAAAATTTCTCCCTAGGGGACAGTCAAGCCTGTCGGGGGAGGTTACATACTCATTCATTTCTCCTCCCCAAATATTTTCCGGACACTTTCCAGCTTCCTCTGTGGAAACCTCTTCCAAAAAATTCTCGAAGCTCACCACTAACTTGTCAATGAGGTCAGTGGGGGCAGAACATGGTTTTAGGATCCTGTCCTCTGTGTTTACAGAGTCATCAAACTCTTTCAGATTTAGCCTATCCTGGAAAAGAAAAAGGGACACACAAGTGGTTATTTAAGGGTAACAAATGGTGCAACCAACAACCCGTTAGACTTGGGACACCAAAGCCTCACCACTCAAACAGCCCCCACATTCCTCCCCAGCCCAGAAGTGAGAGCCAATCCTCTGGGCAGGAACTTGGCACCCTGTACTCTCTCTTCTAGAGAGCTCGAGGCTATTTTCCACACAATGTTCACAACCCCCCCCCCCAGGTAGATGGGAGTATCAAATTAGAACTCTCAGATGGAAAAACCACAACTATAATGGCAGACCTGCCTGATGCCACCAGAAAATCAAAGGTGGTCTCTTGGCACGGGCAGTGTCTGTCATTTTTGTACCCCTCAAGGCCTGGCCTACTGCTTGGCACACAGTGGGTAATTAATCAGTGCTTATTATAGAGGGCTGACCTACAGATTATTCAAAGAGCATTTCAGTCACCAGATAACACTGTCTCCTAATTCATTGCCTCTCTAAATAACTTTTAGTAAGGAGGAAGGCAATGGGATAATATATTCTGGTGAGGAAAGGGAGGAAATAGAAATAAAGCCCATTCTAACAAAAATGCCATGTTAAAAAAGACTTCTGAGTTGAAACAAGGACTAATATTTAAAATTCCTGCATTCAAGGAAAAAACTGGAAACAGTCTTTCAATAATCAGGACTTAAACGTTATATTCAACTGGACTTATTTCTATTTAAGCAAGAAATCATACCTTAGAAATTTCACAAGTTTTTAATTTAAAAAGGAGGGTTGTTACTTAAAGATAATATACCAGAAAGTCCCACTGTCAGTCACATGAAGTTTGTCTCTAACTCCTGCACGACATGAGCAGCACGATTCAAGACAGCCTTTGGAATGTTACACCCATCATCGTCACCTTGGGGTCTCTAAGTGGCCTCTAGATTAATCTCTCTTAGCTGCTTTTTAAACGGCCTCAGAGATTACAGCTAGGCCTTCTCTCTCCCTTACTCAGGTCAGTACGCGTAGGGCCAGGGCCCTTCTGTGGCACTCTTCATAGGACCAGTTTCACGCCAGGCAGGCCCTGGGTCCTGATGAGCCTGGTGAAGTCATGTGCTCTTGTCCAGAGCACAGGCTAAAGTCATTCTGGGACGGTTGCCAGCCATTTCCTGAGATTTTTCAGCCTTAAGTTCTCTTTATGTGAACCCTAAGAACCCCGAGAAAAGCCTAGCTCAGGACTCCTCCCCATCCAAAATCCACCTGGTCCACCCCCATAATGATTCCCTGAACAAAAACAACAGTGTTTACCTTGGAGTCATCTCCACTCCATGCGGCTATACTGCTTTCAGCAGGGTTGGGGACATCTGGCCAACACAGGTGAATCAATCTGCTAAGAGATAAGATAAGGTTTTAGAACAGGAGGTGAACACAGCCAGCATTTCACACACACTGTGTGACTGAGCCAAATCTGTGAGGTCTACTAAGGGAATTGTATGACCCCTATTGAATAAGAGGAAGCCTTCTGGCTGAGATAGGGAAGGTGACATAATTTGGGGAATGAAATTGCAAGTTTTCTGTGGGGCATGATGGGAGAACAACTTTCCCCCATGTAATTCTGTTCCTATCTTCCTCTCCCACCCCTGCATCTCTGCTCCTGATGGTGAAAACTGTCTATGCCTTGAGATTTACACTGGGAAGGGAAACACACTGACTGAGCCTTATACCCACACTTCAGTGCAGCGACTCACAAAGCATGGTCCCAACCTGCAGCACCAGCATCCCTGGGAGCTTGGCAGAAATGTAGATTCAGAGGTCTGAATCAGAAACCCCTGGAGCAGGGCCTGATTCTGATACATGCTAAAGGCTAAGAGCAATTACAGAAGTGCATGGTGGATTTAAATCAGCACTGTGACTTGCCTGCAACCTACTGTTGGGAACTGAGGTTGACATTTAGCTCCACCATTTACCAAGCATAGCTGCCTGGCAGAGATGGCCCACAACTGTCCGATGTAGATGGGGGTGGGGGGGAAGAAGAGAAAGAAAGAGAGAGGGAGTGAAGACAGGAATGAGCAAAGAAGAGAGAGAGGGGGAGAGGAGGAGGAGAGAGAGAAAGAGAGGGAGAGAGAGAAGAGAGGAGGGGAAAAGAGATGAAGGAAGGAAGAAAGGGAGGAAGGGAGGAGAGGGGAAGAGAGGAGAGGAGGAGGGGAGAAGAGGAAAAGAGAGAAAAGGAGAGGAGAGGAGAGGAGGGGAGGGAGATGGGGTAAGAGGGAAGGAGGAGCAGGACAAATGCTCCCTGCAGCCAGCCCTCCAACACTGCACCATGAGCAAGAAACAAGTTTGTGTTGTTGTATGACAACACTAATTCTAGAGGTACACAGCTCCCTGCTCTGCCTCTTGCTGCTATCGGAGGCCCCTTCTGGACATGAGAGAAAGGTCTCCTCTCCAATTCTGGTGTCAGATGGCAAGTGCAGCAAATAAAGCCTGTGGGGTAGGTAGTACCCCTGACCTCAAAACAGCCCAGATGCGATGTGTAGAGCTGTGTGAACAAAAGATTTTTGCTTTTCAGGATTCTGATGACCCACAGATATGCCTTTTAATAATCTCAACACACATGTCCCAAACTAATCAATGAATGAACACAGCCTTCAGGGTAGAGTGCCCTCTGGTACCAGCATGTCTTCCATCCCTTTCTGTCCCTGGTTTTTAAGGCACCTACTGTTGCCTATAAACTCACTTTGGCTTTTTGAGACCAGAGGCCACTGTCAGGATGATGAGCATAAGAAGGCCTCCTCCAACCAGAGAAGTTATGAGGACAATCTCAAAGATACCTTTGGGAAAAAGAGAACAAAAGGCTGTCACAAGTTCCTAATTTCTTGATAAAAATCAAAGACCAACTTTCCTTCTAGTAGTTTCAGCAACATTTCTTATTAATTTTCTTTCATTTAAATTCAATTTCTTTCCATTAAAAGTCGTGTGATTATGGTTCCCCATCTAGTCATCTTATCCATGCCTAATTTGTACACTTTGGTAGACTCCATACTAATAGACATCGTGTTCGCCGTGGCCTTCTTTCAACTTCATTCATGCAGTCAGTCAATAATTACTGACCCCTTTCGATTTGCCAAACACTATCCTGAGTAATAAAAAAAAAAAAAAAAATAAGAAATTCAGGATCCCTGATCACATGGATCTTATGTTCTAGGAGAACTTAGACAATGAATAACATAAGATTATTTCAGATAAAACAGAAAAATAAAATAAAGCGTAGCAAGAATAAAGTGGGAAGGGAAGTTACAAACTTTAGACAGGTTGGTCAAGAAAAAAAAGTGATATTCAAACTGATCTTTTTGTTTGTTTTTGGTTTTTGACATTTGCTTTGTAGCCTAAGCTAGCCTCAAACTCATGATCCTCCTGCCTCAGCTTCCTGACTGCTGGGATTACAGGGATGCACTGACACATCTGGTTTGAGCAGATCTTAATGAGAAGGAGTCTGCCATACAGAATTATGGAGAAAAGCACTCCAGGCAGAAGCTTTGAAGCAGAAACAATTTAGAGAACACAGAAGCAAACAGTGATAGGAAATGAGGCCAGTAAGGGACAGAAGATGAAGGACCCTGAAAGTCACGGACGCATGTGAAGTGAAATGAGCCAGACTGAAAAAGAGAAACACTACATGTTCTCTCTCATACGGGGAATCTAGGATTTTTTTTTCAATGAATGATATGAGTATAAAGCAGGGACTGTTTGGGGGTGGGAATCAGCAGGAGGGGAGAATAATGGGAGCTGATTTGATGCTGAGACTGAAGTTGTATTAGGTTGACTTCTCCTCTTCAAGGAGACTCAGGGCTTCTCATGAAAAAGGAAAAAATGACCAACCTTGTCTGATGTCAGCCCTCAATTTACCTGCTCCGCCTCCTCACTCCTTACCAAAGGCATTCCGGGAAGGATGACTTTACTCATTCAGTACTGTATCTCATTTGACTTCCTTGCCTTTGGCAACCGGCATTTCTGTCTGACCTACTGTAAATGCCAAGGGCAGGTACATGGGGCTTGAAGGAAGTACTCACTGATCGACAATGTCTTAAAGTTTATCCTAGTTCCATTTTTCCCCCCGGCTCTGGTGCTGGCCATGACCCGAACAGTGTAAGAGGTCTTTCGTGACAGAGACTTCAGGCCATACTGCAGGATGCTTGAGTTGACTGTCTCAGCTAAAGGAAAAATACAGAAGTCAAACACCACAGCCAAGCTGAACTGAAACTGCATTTCAGTAGCATCAAAAATAAGAGCATTAGAACCCATACTGGAGAGTTAGCCAACTCTCATCCTTACCCATGGCCTGCTTAAAATTAGCCTCTCAAAATAGAATCAAATACATAAATAGAAAAGCTAAAGCTGTTTTCAAAAAAACTCATAGGCCAGGCACCAGTGGCTCACTCCTGTAATCCTAGCTACTCAGGAAGCAGAAATCAGGAGGATCACGGTTCAAAGCCAGCCCAGTCAAATAGTTTGTACAACCCTGTCTTGAAAATACTTCACAAAAAAAATAAGGCTGGTGGAGTGGCTCAAAGTGAAGGCCCTGAGTTCAAACCTCAGTACTGCAAAAAATAAATAAATAATAAATAAATAAATAAACTCTTAGAAAACAACATAAGGTAAATCTTCAGGCCTTGAATTTCACAATGTCTTCTTAAATATGATACCAAAAGCACAAGCATCAAAAGAAAAAATAGATTAACCTCAACTTCATTAAATGAAAAGCTATTAGACTACATAGAACTCAGTGGCAGAGCCCTTGCCTAGCATGCTCAAAGCCCTGTGTCCAATCCCCAGCACCACACAAAAAAAATTATAAATAATATTAAAAGCTTTCATTCATCAAAAGACATTACCAAGAGAATAAAACAACTACCCACAAAACTGGAGAAAATATTTGCAGATTATATATTATTTGATAAGGAGCTTACATCTACAACATATAAAGAGCTCTTATGACAATAACAAAAGACAAACAACCCAATTTTAAGATGGGCAAAGACATTAAGAAGCTATTTCTCCAAAAAGAATATGCAAGTGGTCAATAACCACATGAATGTCCTTAGTGAGGAGGGGATCTAAGCCAATGAGATATCACTTCAAACAAAATACTAATTCATATTAGATGAACTTTAAAAGCCACATATTTTGGGGGGGTTGTTGTTTAATTATTTGTTTTTACAGCACTAGTGATTGAGCCCAGAGCCTTTCAAATGCTAGGCATGCACGCCACACTGAGCTCACTCCCCATCCCCTGATTATATTACACAAAATACCATGAATAGGCAATACATGGAGACATGAACAGTTTGGGAGTTTCGAGAGGCTATGGAAGGAAGTTAGAAAGGGAGCAACTGATTCAAAGTCACAAAGCTTCTTAAGGTAGGAATAGGAAAAATCTGGAAATAGAAAGGGCCAATGGTTGCACAACATAGTGACTTTCTTAACACTACTAAATTGTATAGCTTCAAGTGCATAACAAAAACAAAATTTAGCTTAAATAGGAATCTAAGCAGAGCTTAGAATCTGAGATGTCAGGAGATTATTGTGAGCTCAAGGATAAAGCAGTATAACTCATGGTATAGAATCCTATACTGGAGGATTGTGAGTTCAACCCCAGCCTGAGCTATATAATAAGTTTGAGGCTAGCCTGGGCTGCATAATGAGTTCAAAGCCAGTCTGAGCTACATAGTAAGATCCAGCAAAAAATAAAAAGAAATTGTAAAAAATTTTTAAAGAGAAAAAAGAGCCTTAACTAAGAATATACCATCAAAGAGGGTCTGTCCTCCGCCTCCCACCACTTTACCCCACAGCCAGGTGTGTACTTCCCAGGAATAATGGTCAAAGAACTCTGTGGTATGGGGAAGATGTCAACTCATTCAGAGATGAGCCAGGACAAATTGAACCAAGTCCTTCCTAGTTCCACAGGACTCCTGGGTACTGCCTCTTCACTCCGATGGAACCCCTTATACCTTAAGAGGTAGTGCTCTTGATCCCATTTTTTAGAGAAACTCAAAGAAACTAAGTGATCCATGCAATGGTGCAGGTCACAGTCATGGGAGCTACCTCTATGACATGTCTGTCCATATCATCTACGGGGTAGCAGGCTAGGTTTTTAAACATGGCTATGAGCACACTTACATAATTCTTTTCCACCTTCAGCTTGGTAAAATATGGTGTAATTGCTGATAAAGCCATTTCTTTGGTCCTTGGGAATCTCTTTCCACGTGATTGTGACTGTCTTCACGCCAATGTTCTCCACCTTGGCCCGGGGACCTTCTGATGGAACTTGAGAGGACAGTGAGATAAATGAACAATGCTGAATTCCACCGCAGCATAACCTTCCCCCACAAAGTCTCTGCCAGCACTCAGACCAAAACCACAGTGCTAGAGGTATGGAGGTTGAGTAAGGAACTGACAAGTCAACTGGTGTGGAGACATTATTTTCTTCAGTCATGCATCTTAAACAAGAAGAGAATGGTGTCAAAGACGAGAGAAAAAGTACTTTCTTATACACTTCTCATCCCAATTTGGCTCCCAGCTTCACCAGTCATATCTGTAAAGTGTGTCTATTATCAAGCAGCTGAAGATTCTACCTCTATAGACACCTTTGCAAAGCAGAAAATATTTTCCAGTGTTGGATCTGGAAGAAGTTAAATTCCAAAAAGATAAAGTCTGAGTAATTCATCAGTAAAGCCATTTCTTATAGCTTCATAATTAAAAATAATTTTAATATGCTCAACTTATGAACTCTGCAGGCTCCCTGAGTTGGTCTTCATTAAACGTTCTTTCTAGTTGCAACTCCAGTTGAATTACCTGTTGGTGACTTTGGGAAAGTTGTTTCACAACTCTGCTTCAATTTTCCATTTGTGAAAGAGGATTGGATTTGATAATCTCTAATATCTACCCAGTTTTGAAATTTAGTGACTCTATAACCCAATCCCAGTTGTATAGAATAGACATAGCTTGCTACAAAATGAAGGTGTGGCACAAATGGGCCCTAGGGTAACTGTGACTGAGTTACAGGCATTCAGTTTCATCTGAACATTGGAGAGGCCCCAATATTTCCCTTTCCCCGGAGGGTTTGTCCATACATACTGCCTTCTTTGGCATAAACCTGGATGGAATATGGCTCTCCTGCTTGGTCTTGCAACACTGGATACACGGAGATGTTATAGCACCAGAAAGGTTTTAATTTATCTGTAAAAGAATTAAAAAATAAGCATAAGCGCAGAGCATAGCACAATGGAAGGAAGGCTGGACTAAGAGTCATGGGCTGAGACTCATGGAAGATATTTCATTTTTCTAGTTTCCTCACTTGGAAATAGGGAGTGAAATTGGAAGTTAGGATAGATGATCTCTAATGTCTACTCTTGTTCTAAAATTTTCCAATTTATTTTCAGAACTAAACTCTGTACCTCTCTAATATAATTACAGAGCAATCCAAAAAGAAAGGAGACATCTAGTCCCTCCTCCATCACTGGTTTTAACATACAGTTTGGGGACACAGCAGGATAAAACTTAATCCTTTTGCAATAGCAGTATCAGCCTCAGCAGCTCAAATACCATGAATTCTAGCTCCTTTACCAGCCTGCATCCTACAAAAATTATGTATCTTTAAATTTTTTACTTTTTGTTTTTCCCATACTTTTATTGGTGCATATTAATTATATAATATGGGAGTTTCATTGTAATATTTCTATAATGCATATAATATATGCTGATCTTATTCACCCCCTCTGTTACTCTTTCTTACTCCCTTTCCCTACACACACACCTCTTTTTATTACTTTCTTGCAATTTTTAAATGAGTTTTATTATTCACATATGCACACAATGTACTTTGATCATAATCTCCCCTTTTGCTCTCTCTCCCTGGCCACCTCTTGGTGGTTTTCTTCCCATATAGTCCCCCATTTATGTTCATATCCTTGTTTTTGTCTTTAGACCTACATTCCTAAAACATGCAGTATTTGTCTTTTTTAATGCTTATTGGAATATAAGCTCCTGAAATATTTCCTAATGACTCTCTGAATGTCATTGGTATTTGTTGTGATTTCTCCCCCCTTTCATCTCTATTTTTTTTTTAATTTGGATCTTTTCCCATTTTCTTTGGTTAATTTGACTAAGGGTTTGTCAGTCTGGTTCAGTTTCCTTTTACCTGCATGGTGCTAGGGCCGGAGCTGCAGATTGTTTTCTAATTTACTGTCACCTTTCTGTTTCTCCATGTTTTCCAGTCCCTCTTTCTTGCTTCTTGATGCCTTCCCTCCCTTTCTCTCTTCAGAATATAGTCTCTCCTTTGTTACCCTGGATCTTCTCATTCACAGAGTCAGAGAAAGCTTTTACTCTGCCATGTTGTCCCACCTCCATTTATTTTATTTATTTATTTTTTGAAACAGGTCTCTCTATATAGCCCAGTGTGTCCTTGAACTTGTGCTCCTCTTGCCTCTGCCTCCTGGGTGCTGGAGTTAGAGGCATATGCCACCACACCCAGGTAGTATATTTCTTAATACAGATGTCATTAAGTATTGACAAATGTTTGGAATGATAGGACCAAAAGGGTCACTTACATGTCTTACATGGAGTAGGAACTCTCTTAAAAAGAAGGCTATTCCCTGTGTCAGTCACTGGGAAGGGCCTAGCTCTTAAACAGCAATTAGAACAGGAGTGCCCTAGGTAGGACAGATGAGACTTCTATCACTATCCCCCGGATGATCAAGATATCTAGGAAGGAGTTAGGCATGGTGGTGTATTCCAGTAATCCCAGAACTCAGAGGCTGAGGGAGGAGGATCTTGGGTTCAAGACTAGTCTAGGCTATATAGTGAGACTCTATTTCAAAACACCAAGGGCTAGAGATGTATCTCAGTAGCAGAGTACTTGACTAGCACATGCAAGGCTCTGGGTTCAATCCCCAGCACCACAATCAACACAATAACAACAGCCAAAAGAAGGTATCTGCAAAGGGTTCTCTGATGGTAGGTGTTAGGATGATATTTTCCTTTCCACCTGGGACAGGCTGGACACCTGATTGATACCCAGAGTTTTGCCAGCCTGTGTAGGAAATGCCAAGAACCATGACACTTTTCTATGCTTGCACAGACTTGTCAAATGTTATTACAGATCCAGCTTTGAAACCAAAGTCAAGGATTTTAAAACTGATTAAAATGAAACCAAATCCTGTATGTTTTATACCAGCTACCTTGCTGGATTGTCCAGTTCCTGGCTTGAGACACAGATTCCCAGGAAATGTCAGAGAGCCCGGAGTCCAAGTCTGGGAACCACTCAATCATCCACGTGTCCACTTCTGTACCGGAGCTTTGCCACTGTACCACCAGCTGGTCCTGAGCAAGGTAGGCCTGCATGACGTCAATGCACTGAAATACTGAAAGGAGAGAAAACGACTGCTTCACAGCTGCCCAACCATGTACACCCAGTCATTGCTCAGACCAAGAAAGATCAAAGTTCCTTACCTCTACTGTAAGGAACTGTATCCCTTTTCCTTACCCAATACCTTGGATGATTAAATGCCTTCTTAATCTGCCTTTGCCTCCCCAAATTGAAATAGATGTCACTAGGGAGATACTAACTAAGAAAATTTATGCTGAAGAAATGCAAGTCAAAAGAAAAGCAAGCTGAGACAATATATTCTCAGCAGGAATATTTTTTTAGGAATTTCGTTTTCGTAAGCCACAGTTTATGGATTCTTTTCCCAAACTGAGCCTTTATGAGATACTCTGGCTACAAGTCAAGGCTAGGTAATTTGTCAACCTGAAAAGGTAGTTCTGAGAAAAGTAGGCTAAGGCTTGAAGAACATGTGAAGGTGGAGTAGGGCTGCAGCCAGAGTGAGGAGTACAGAGCCTGGGTACCCATCCCACCAATCCACAGGGCTCCTGCTTTTTCCTCCCTATTTTCCCCTGCTTACATCCTGGAAATGTTCCCAACTAGACCAGACTGAAGGTCACTGCTGCAACACTAAAAAACTTACCTTGACTCTTTTAGATCCTCTCAGATTCCTCTTACAGTTTATATTTCTCTTGGATGGGTAACTCTGAGATGTACCTTTCGTTCCAGAGTTCCCCTGCAGGATTCTGCAGGACTCCCTTCCCCAGGACTCTTCCTTCAGATTGCACCTGGTAAGGGCTGAATTATGCTTTCACAACAATATTCCCAGAGCTACAGAATATGACCTTACTTGGAAATAGGATCACCGTGGATGTAATTCAGATGGTGGACCCTTCACTTAACATGACTAGTGTTCTTAATTTTTTTAAAAAGGGGGTGAGAGGGGAGTTCGGACAGAAAGTGACACAGGAAAATAGCCATGTGAAAAGCAAGACAAAGTCTGGAGTTATCAGAACTTCCACAAGCCAAGGCATACCTGAGGCACTAGAAGCACAGAAACATAATAAGGACATTACCTGGAGACTTTGGAGACAGTATGGCCCAAATAACAACTTGATTTTGGACCTTCACAACTATGAGTCAATCAGTTTCTATTGTTTCAAGACACCTAGTTTGTGGTGCTTTGTTAAAGGAGCCCTAAGACAAAAAGACAACACCTTCTGCTCAACCTCTCCCCATGCCTGGCCTGCTTCTTCAACTTCCTTTTCTGGTCTTCCTGGAGGCACTTTCTTAATAAATGACTCACCCACAAATCCTGACCTAAAGAGAAATGAATGCTGGTTCCAAACCCCACATTTCTCTCCTCACCAATCTTGTAGCTTAGAGGATCCAGGTCTAAAGTGCTAAGCATGCTACAGAGATGGAGGAGATCATGAAGGGTGTGGGAATGGCTCCACGAAACCATGAGTCAACTATGAAACAGCAAGGGTCTGGCCTCATTAAGAAGTGTTCAGTGGGAAGTTTCCAGATTATCATTCTATGGAACTTGGATGAACTGCCAGATCCTTCCATTATTCAACAAGGACTTTTGAGCAATTAGTCCTCAGGAGTGGGAGGAAACACAAATCATCCCTGGAAAAGGGGGAAGGGACTTGATTGCAAATATCATTAATATCCATATATACATGAAGACAGTCAGTATGGGTCTACAGGATACTGTTCTTACAAGGCTTCCCCTTGGCCAGCCATCCTGTGTCAGCCTGAACTCTACCATGACATAGTCCCCACCTGTTCCTCTGACCCACCCATCACACAAGTGGCTGTACTATTCCACTTCCTGCCTCAGACTATTTCACAGCTGCCTGCGGCTAACGCCTCATAAAACTCAGGATGTTCAGGCAGAAGGAACTTGAGGATTTGTCTATTCTAATCCCTGTTCTAAAAATGAGAACATGGGAGTCCACAGAGGTAAATCACTAGCTCAGTGTCATGCAGCATCTGTGACCAGAAGTCTAGGGTTTATTAACATGAAACACAAGGTTCTAGATAAAGTATATTATACCAGTTTGGTTCACATAGACCTGGACTAGAAGCCCACCTGAGAGATCTTGGGCAAATCAATAAGCTTTCCTGGATCTTTTTATCACCTAAAAAAGGGATCTAACAGCATCTACATCATGGGTCATTTTACAACTAATGTGAGATAACCTACAATACCTAAGTACAATGTCTGGCACGTCCTGGTAAACAATATGTGATGATTATGCTTAATTAATGACTATTACACTTAAAGTTTTCATTATAACTCTTCTCCAGCTGCCTCTACTAAAGAAAACTCTGTAGAGCATTACTTTTCTATATGTCTAGGATAGGGGTCTATAAACTTCCTCTGCAAAGAGCTAGATAGTAAATATTTTAGGCTTTACAGGGAAGTTGATCTCTATCACAACTACTCACTTTGCCATTGTTGCACAAAAGAAGCCATAGACAATCTGTAAACAAATAGGTGTGGCTATGTTTCATTAAAAGTTCATTTACAAACACAGGTATAGCAACATATTTGGCCTATAGCTGTAATTTGTCAACACCTGGTCTAGGACCTTTATAATTGATGCTGCTGACACTAAGCCAGCAAAACAAAAAAGCTAGGTGAATTTAGCATAGCTTAGGTTAAAGTGTATTGTATAGTATTTTTAAAGCTGGCATTTTATGCCTATGATGGTTAATCTCCACCGTCAACTTGACTAGACTGAGAAATGCCTAGCAGATTAGTAAATACACTTCTGAAGATGTCTGTGATGGCGTTTCCAGAGACAGTTAGGGCTTTGACCTAATGAATAGATTAACCCCTCAATGAATTCATAATATGCTAGTATTATTGGGCGTGGGGAAAAGTCAGAGGTGGGCCTACTCGGAGGACTGGGGGAAGATCCTTGGGGCTATATCATGCCTTGGCCTCTTCTTTTTCTTTTATTTTTTTATTGTTTTATTATTCATATGTGCATTCAAGGCTTGGGTCATTTCTCCCCCCTGCCCCCACCCCCTCCCTTACCACCCACGCCGCCCCCTCCCTCTCCCCCCCACCCCCTCACTACCAGGCAGAAACTATTTTGCCCTTATCTGTCATTTTGTTGTAGAGAGAGTATAAGCAATAATAGGAAGGACCAAGGGTTTTTGCTGGTTGAGATAAGGATAGCTATACAGGGCATTGACTCACATTGATTTCCTGTGCGTGGGTGTTACCTTCTAGGTTAATTCTTTTTGATCTAACCTTTTCTCTAGTTCCTGGTCCCCTTTTCCTATTGGCCTCAGTTGCTTTTAAGGTATCTGCTTTAGTTTCTCTGCATTAAGGGCAACAAATGCTAGCTAGTTTTTTAGGTGTCTTACCTATCCTCACCCCTCCCTTGTGTGCTCTCGCTTTTATCATGTGCTCATAGTCCAATCCCCTTGTTGTGTTTGCCCTTGATCTAATGTCCATATATGAGGGAGAACATACGATTTTTGGTCTTTTGGGCCAGGCTAACCTCACTCAGAATGATGTTCTCCAATTCCATCCATTAACCAGCGAATGATAACATTTCGTTCTTCTTCATGGCTGCATAAAATTCCATGTGTATAGATACCACATTTTCTTAATCCATTCGTCAGTAGTGGGGCATCTTGGCTGTTTCCATAACTTGGCTATTGTGAATAGTGCCACAATAAACATGGGTGTGCAGATGCCTTGGCCTCTTCTTATATTCCCTTTTCTCTGCTTTCTGGCTGCTGTGATGCGAACTTCTCTGCTCCACCCCACCATGATGGACTGCTACTATGAACCAAAATAAATCTCTCCTCCCTTAAGTTATTTACATTAGGTATTTTTGTCACAGCAATGAAAAGCTAACTAATACATGCATCTAATAGACATCTAATTAATCAAAAATTTTATTAAGAATGACAACAGTGGCCTGGGATGTAGCTCAGTGGTAGAGCACTTGCCTAGCATGCACAGGGCCCTGGGTTCCATCCCCAACACTGAAAAAAAAAGATCATGGTATTAATAGACAAAGCATTTTACAAATAATATTTCATTTAGTTCTCAAAATAGCTCTAAGAGGTAGATATTATATTACTAGCTCCATGTTGCAAGTGTGTTAGCTTTAGAGAGGATAGGTGGCTTTTCTGAGGCAAATGGTATCATTGGACAAGCAAAGATTTGAACACAGGGCTCTTGATCCCCAAAGCCCATGCTTCTATTCCCTATTCTTTACTGCCTCCCATCCCAGGAACACACCTGGAGACAGGTTACTTACTGTTCAGCATCATCTCTATTAACGAAGAATGTCTATTCCAATGAAACGTGTGTTTGTCAGAAACTTCATTACTAGACTATTGGATAGGCAGGAACTAGGATGTTGGGAACCAAAGACCATGGAGAATACCATTAAATACTAACTAAAATAACACAAAATATAGTCAAAAACACAAAATTATGAACATCTAGGTTCTAAATGAGTGCAAAAGTTAGGTTTAAGGAGAAGAGAATGAAGGAAGGACAGGCAGGGAAGTCTAAAAGTGCCTAAACTAGTCTAGGGCAAAACAAACAGAGAGGTAGCAAACTAGAGAGAACATTCCCTAACTATGGTGTGTTTGGACAAATCATTACTGAGAACCATTTTATGCCAATAAAACCAGTTTTATGCTATGCTAGGTGTTGGCAATTAAGTTTTTAAAAAAAAAACACAAAGTAAACACAAACAGACAAAAATCCCTGCAATTCTGGGACATGCACCCTACTAAGGGAGAAAACATATGAGATGAATGACAGTACTAAGTTAAATAGAGAAAAACCAGGAAAAGAAAACCTACTGTTGCAATTCTTGACCAAGAATTAAAGAAGATATATTTTCCCAAATAGGATATAAAATACGCATTTGCCTAAGAACAATAAGATGTTCAAAACTGCTTAATCAAAAGTATAAGGGGCAATTTTTTGGCAACTACAAACATAAGAATTTTTTTCAATGCAGGCAAGACGGTGGATTGTTGACATCCCTATACCCCAGTGGCAAATAACTATCCTAAAAAAGGAAGATCAGGGGACCCCAAAAGGCATCCACATGGTCCCATACCAGTGAAAAACAAAGCCCTCTCTAAATCCACAAATAGAGAAGCAATTAGCCACAGGAAGAATGGGAAAAACAACTCATAGCTCAACACTCCCAATCCCCTGCCCCTGAAGTCATGGCTCCAGGCTCCATTACTTTAAGTTCACTCAGAGGTAAGTCCTGCTTCTCAGCACACACAGGAACCCAAGGCTCCACACTCCCCTCTCCTACACAACCTGCTACCTTCACCCTGAAACACCAGGGAAACTGGCATCCCTGTATAAGCAGGACCCATAGCTCCCTCTACTCCACAGGTAACAGAAGGAGTAAGCTAGCAGGCTTGATTCCCCTGTGCTAGCAGCAGCTTGCCCCAGAAAGCAGGCCCCAGAACTCACGCTGTCCACAGGCTTTGTTCTCCTGTGACAGCAGCAGCTCCTGCGACTCCTGGAATCTGGCACCTGGCAAGTAGGCCCTGGAACTCCCTCTGTCCACAGGTTTGGATCCCTCATACCTGCAGCAGCAGCCATGGCTCCCAGAAGCCCACGCCCCAACACAAGTAGATCCCAGGGGCCCCACTACCTTGTGGGCACCAAACAATTCAAGCCCTCTGGCTTTGCTGCCCCATGGGTGCCCTCAACTTGCTACTCAGTGCCAGGAGCCCACTGCACATGCAAATGAACCCCAGGCTCCAGGCTTTTCTATTCTGTTGGCACCAAGAGGCTTCCCTCCCCACATAGCATGGAGGCCCAGCCTCCCCACCAACCTGTCCTGTGGGAGAGCCCTCACTGCCCTGTCAAAGAACAGGAACCCAGCTGTGCCACTAAGTGGTAATCTACCATTTTGTGGGTGCCAGCAGACCTGCTTCCCTAAGGCACAAAAATACCCAGTGCTTCCCACTGTGCCCAACCACGGGAGAGCCTCCCCACTTCTTTGTTAAAGACCAAAAACTCTAGTTCCTCCCTAAGGAGAAGAAAGCTGTAACCTGTTACTTAATGAGTGGCACCAGAAGGCCCGCTTCCTGAGATGCACAGAAGCCCAGGTCTCCCCACTGTGCCTGACAGTTGGAGAGCTCCCACAACCCCATCAAAGAACAAGAATGCCAGTTTCCCCACTGAGGAGAGGGAAGCTGTAACCTCCTACTCTGTGGACAGCACCAGACTGCTACTCTAAAGTGCACAGAGGCCCAGCACTTCTCACCTCGCCTGCCTACAGGAGAGTCCAGTCTCCCCTGTCTAAGAGCTGGAACCCCAGCTTCTCCTCTGAATGACAATCCACTACTCTGCAGCTGCCAGGAGGCCAGCCTCCCAAGGTGTACAGAGGTCCAGCACTCCCCACTGTGCCTGACAGTGGAGAGCCCTTGCTCCTGATTAAAGAGAATGTCAGATTCCCCACTGAGGGGAGGAAAGCTGTAACCTAACACTCTGCAGGCAGCACCAGAAGGCCTGCTTCTCCAAGATCCATAGAAGCCCAGCACTTCCACTTCACACTGCACCTCCCTGCAGGAGAGTCCCATCTCTCCTGTCTGAGAGCTGGAACCCCAGGTCCTCCAATGAGTGGCAACCCACTACTCTTCAGGTGCTAGGACGCCTGCCTCTGACAGTGCACAGAGATCCAACATTTCCCACAGTGACTTCAAGAGAGTCCCCACACCCCCATCAAAGAGCAGGAACTCCAGCCCCCTTGCTGAAGGGAGAAAAGAGGTAATCTGCACCACAACAAGAACCCTGCAAGGGGTAACATTTCCAGCATACCCCTCCATGAGGAAAACTGCTAGAGCTCCAGAAGAAAAAAACTCAAAACCTCAACTACAGGGGCACAAGGGACTAAAACCCTAACCAAAAACAACTCCAAATGCATAAATCTCAATGCAGAATGAAACAACAAGACCACAACTCTCCTTCAAAAGCCAATCCCACCATTAAGATCTAAACAGCTGCATAGAGAAAGAGATATCAAATAATGAATTCCAAAAAAATATAGTAAAAATGATTAGTGACCTCAAAGAAGAAACACAAAAGCTACTATCTGACCTCAAAGAGGACATGAATAAACAATTAAAATGAGCTCAAAGAGAATACAAACAAATGAATGAAATTAAGACTATCCAAGAAATGAAGGAGAAAATCAATAAAGATATGGAAACCCTGAAAAAGAATCAATCCGAAATAAACAACTCAATATCCCAAATAAAAATCTTAATCAAAAGCTTGGCAAACAGAGTGCAGCAAGCGGAAAATAGAAGACAAAGTAACAGTAAAGGATTACAAAAGAATGCTAAGAAGATATGAATGGAACATGGAAGAAATCTGGGACACCATGAAAAGACCAAACATATGAATCATGGGTGTAGAAGGAGAGGAGATACAAACTAAAGGCACTGACAACCTATTCAATAGAATAATAGGTGAAAACTTCCCTGACCTCCAGAAAGAGAGAGTCACCCAGGTACAGGAAGCTTACAGAATACCAAACCCTCAGGACCAAAAAAGAAACACCCCCAGGCACATCATAATCAAAACTCTCAGCACACAGAACAAAGAAAGAATTCTGAAAGCTGCAAAAGAAAAAAGACAAGTCACATATAAAGACAAACCCATTAGAATAACAGCAGATTTCTCAACTCAAATTCTAAATGCAAGAAAGTCATGGAAAGATATAATTCAGGCCCTGAAAGAAAGCAACTGTCAATTTAGAGTTGTCTATCCAGCAAAACTATCCTTCCTAATTGAAGGAGAAATTGAAACTTTCCATAATAAGGAAAAACTAAAGGAATTAGCAACTACCAAGCCAGCACTACAGAAGATACTTAAAAGAACTTTTACATATAGAAAAAGAACCTAAAGTGAGACAGGAAGACTCAAAAAAGAATAAACCCTTTTGAGAAAGCAGACCAGTCAACATAGAATAGGTAAAACTGAACAACAGAAGAATAAAAATAGTTGAAAACAACATACACCTATCAATATTAACACTGAATGTAAATGGCCTCAATGCCCCAATCAAAGGACATAGAATAGCAAACTGGGTTAAAAAAACAAGACCCAACCATATGTTGCTTACAAGAGACTCATTTCACAAAAAAAAAAAAAAAAGAAAGAAAGAAAGAAACCACTGGCTTACAGTCAAAGGGTAGAAAAAAGTTTTCCAAGGAAATGAACCCTATAAACAAGCAGGAATAGCTACACTCATATCTGACCAAGTAGACTTCAGACTAAAATCACTAAGAGGCAATGAGTCATTTCATATTAATGAAAGGAACAATTCATCAAGAGGAAATATCAATCCTTAGCATACATGCACCAAACATAGTGCATCCACCTACATTTAAAAAAAAAAAAAAAAACCTCTAATGGCCCTAAGAGCACAGATAGACCCTAACACAGTGATAATTGGAGACCTGAATACCCCACTGTCACCAATAGATAGGTCATCCAGCCAAAAGATCAACAAAGAAATGTCAGAGCTACTCCACACATTAGACCAAATGATGTGATTGAATTCTATAGAGTATTTCAACCAACAACTAGGCAATACACATTCATTTCTGTAGCTCATGGAACTTTCTCCAAAATAGATCATATTTTAGGATACAAAGCAAGTCTCAACAAATTCAAGAAAATTAAAATAACCCCCTTCATCATATCAGATCACAAAAGAATAAAACTAGATCTCAAAAACAAAAGAAACCACAGAAAATATTCAAACACATGGAGACTGAACAACACACTGTTGAGAAATCAATGAGTAACCGAAGAAGTAAGGGAAGAATCCAATGAAAATGAAAATACAACCTACAAGAATCTGTGGAACACAGCAAAGGCTGTGCTAAGGGGAAAGTTTATAGCTTTAAGCACCTACCTTGAAAAAACAGAGACCTCTCAAATAAACAACCTGATGATGCACTTTAAGCTCCTAGAAAAACAAGAACAAACTAAACCCCAAATCATCAGACAAACATAAATAAAAAAGATCAGGCCAGAGATAAATGAAATCAAAACTAAACAAACTATACAAAGAATCAATGAAACAAAAAGTTGGTTCTTTGAAAATATTAACAAGATCAACAAACCCTTAGCCAACATGACAAAGCAGAGGAGGGAAAAGATCCAAATTAATAAAATCAGATAAGGGGACATAACCACAAATATTAACAAAATCCAGGGAATCATTATAGAGTACTTTGAAAACTTATATTCAGGTAAGCTGGAAAATCTAGATGAAATGGATAAATTCCTAGATGCATCTAACCAACCAAAATTGAACAAAGATGATATTAAACACCTAAATAGTCCTATTATATGCAATGAAACTGAAAGAGTAATAAAGTCTTCCTACAAAGAAGAGCCCAGGACTTGATGGATTCATAGCTGAATTTTAACAAACTTTTAAAGAAGAATTAACACCAATACTCCTTAAACTTTTCCAGGAAATAGAAAGGAAAGGAATACTACCAAACTCATTCTATGAAGCCAGTATCACACTCATTCCAAAATCCAATAAAGATGTAACCAGAAAAGAGAATTATATACCAATGTCTTTAATGAATATAGATGCAAAGATTCTCAACAAAATACTACCAAATAGAATTCAACAACACATCAAAAAGATCATACACCTCTACCAAGTCGATTTTGTTCCAAGGATGCCAGGATGGTTCAACATATGTAAGTCTATAAATGTAATACAGTACATAAACAGATGCAAGGACAAAAACCACATGATCCCCTCAATAGATGCAGAAAAAGCCTTTGACAAAACCAACACCTTTTCATGGTAAAAGCTCTGAAAAACTAGGAATAGAAGGAATGTTCCTCAGCACAATAAAAGCTATATATGACAAACCTTATTTCCATCATATTAAATGGAAAACAACTGAAACTTCCCATTAAAGTTAGGAACAAGACAAGGCTGTCTGCTTTCTCTACTCCTATTCAATATAGTTTTGGAATTCCTAACCAGAGCAATAAGACAAGAGCAAGAAATAAAAGGGATTCAAATAGAGAAGGAAGTAGTCAAACTATCCCTGTTTGCCCATGACATGATCCTATACCAAAGAGACCCCAAAAACTCTACCAAAAAAACTATTAGTAATCACAAACTCTTTCAGCAAAGTAGCAGGTTACATATGGAAATCAGTAGCTTTTCTATATACCAACAATGCACAGACAGAGAAAGAAATCAGGGAAGCAATCCCATTTACAATAGCCTCAAAAATAATAAAGTACCTTGGAATAAATTTAACAAAAGAAACCAAAGACCTTTTTAACAAAAACTATAAACCACTGAAGAGAGAAATCGAAGAAGACATTGGAAGATGAAAGACCTTCTAAGCTCGTGGGTTGGTAGAATCAGTATTGTGAAAATGACCATGTTACCAAAAGCAATCTACATGTTCAACATAACCCCTATCAAAATTCCAATGACATTCTGCACAGAAATAGTACAAGCAATCGCGAAATACATATGGGCAATTCTGAGTGAAAATTCCAATGCTGAAGGCATCACAATAACCAACTTCAAACTATAC